CATCCCCCCACCACGTAATGTCCTAGTCTCACGGCGAAGTCTTCGCTTCTCTTTCTTGTGTAAACTCAAGTCTGAGTGATCTCTTCCCATCCTGCAGGCTATGTGCTAGCAGTATATATATTATATATATATATGTGTGTGTGTGTGTGTATGTATATTTATATGGATATATATATATATATTTAAGAATTTTTTTTCCCATAGGGTGTATGTACTCATTGGAAGAGACAGAGACAGAGACAGGGAAAGTGATAAAGCATCACCTGGCAGAATGACCATGCCATAATCCCTTCTCCTCCAGTCTCCTCTCAGGATTTTGGGTATGCACGCAGACACGTCTGGTGTGATTTTTCAAGCCACTGGGTCTGGGACTTGAGCCTTGGTTGGTTCATATGGGAATCTAGTGCTTTAATCATCATGCCAAATGTGTATATATATATATATATATATATGATTTCTTTGCTTAATTTTATTCGTTTTTATTACTTATCTTTTTAAAATTTGACCAGACCGGGGGGGGGGGGCTATTATTTATTTATTTTAATTTGATCAGAGAGGAAGAGAGAGAGAGAGAGAGAGAAAATGAAAAAGTAAGCTGTCAGGTCCAGGACTTGAACCATAGTCAGTCGTATGGGAGCCTAACAACTTAACCACCATGCCACCTGCCGGGCCCCCAAATGTATATTTTTAACTCACAGCCCTCTCCAAAATTCATGTACTGATTATTCAACTTCCAACTTGATATCTCCACTAGAGTATGTAAAGTCAAAAGTTCAAAAATGAATTCCTAATCTACCTGAAACCTACTTCAGTCACGCCCGGTGAGGTGGTGGCAGTTCTACTTTCCAGGAGCTCAGGCCCACAGCCTGAGAACAGTCTCTGAGCACACTGCATGTCCTTGCGGATGTCCAGTTCATCCGGAACTCCTATGAGTCGTACCTTCGAAGTATGCGTAGAACCTGACCCCTGCTCACAGGCTCTCCCGGACAGCCTGGTCCACGTCACTGTCACCTTTTCCTGGATTGCTGTAGCCGCCCCCCCAGGTCCACCCTTCTGTAGTCCTCCAGCCTATTCTCAACGCAGCACCAGGCGGCCATTTCAAAACGTAACCAGATCGGGTCACTCCTCTGTCCACCGCCCCGCAATAGCTCCTCATTTTGCTCAGAGTGAAGCTAAAGCCCTAACCCTGACTTCAGTTCCCTATCCCGTCTCCTGGTTATGGCCGCTCTCACCATACCTCTCCTGTGTGCTCTGCCTGCACTGACTTAATTACTGTTCCTTGAACAGACAAGGCAGGCTTCCATCTTACGGGCCTCTCCCCCACTCCCCATTCCCCAGCTATCTTTGTGGCTCTCTCCTATTCAAGTCTTTGTTCAAATACCACAGCCTCAATGAGATCAACCCCAAACCTTATGTTTAGTGTTTAGTCTTTCCCCTCTTGCATCTTCCAAGCCTTCTAGATCATCTTACCCTCTCTACATTGCACATTTCCCATAGCACAAGTCAGTCTAATTTCCTGTACTCTGTCTTTTTTTTTTTTTTTTTTTGAGCTGTTTCAGGTTTACGCTATAGGACTCGTGCACTCGCCAGACAGAGAGGCAGAAAGTGAGAAATCACCCCCCAGGGGGATGGCCACGCCGCAATCCTTTCTCCTCCATTCTCCTCTCGGGATCTTGGGCACGCATGCACACGCGCCCGGCGTGAGTTTAAGCCACCGGGTCCAGGACGCGAACTGCGGTCGACTACGTGGGAGTCCAGCGACATAGCCATTACGCTAACTGCTGGTCCCCTCTGCTTGTCTATTGTGTTGATTGCTACGTCTGTATGTATTGTTTGATTGTATTACATGTATTGTCTCCCGCGTTTGAATGTAAGCACTACAGGGTGGCCATTTTATTATTTAAATTTATTCATATATCCCAAGTACCTAGAAGAGTGTTGGCAATGATAGACATTCGAGACTGGTGATCTGAACTAAGGCTGCACCGGTAAGAGCAAGAGGATTCAAGAGTCCTTCAGGAAGCAGATTGCTAGTTAATTATCAACAGTTAATGAGAATGTGAGGTGAGAGGGGAGAGGACCCGAGGTGGACACCTAGGTGACTGGTGATATCTCCCACAGTGAGGTGGGACTTAGGTTGAGGAAGCTGGTTTGCAGTCAGTTATGGACACTACTGAGGCACCTGTGGGGCGTTCAGCTAAAGAACATTAGGAAGCTAACTGGGGCCGAAATGTAGGTATAGAGGCATATGCTGGAGAATCATAAAAGTACAAATTCTAACTCAAATGACAGAATTGTTAGTGTCATTATTGATAAAAGAAGAAAGCTTGCAAGAGAATTGGGAAATAATTGTTCAATGTTTGGGAAAAGAAAGTAGAGTCAAAAAGGGTAATATTAAATGTCCAGAAAGTAAGAAGGAAAATGTGTATATTATGGAAAAAATTCAAGCCTTTGGGGCCAGCTGGTGGCACAGCAGTAATGCAGTGCTCTGGATCTCTGGATGGTGGGCCCACTGGGGAAGGTCCTAGGTTTTATCTCAGGGTTGCCCTGTGCATGCTGGGCATGTGTGTGTTCTTAATCTGCGTTGTCATGGCTGGGGGTGAATCAGTGTGGGGACCCTGTCGGGGTTACCCACTTCCCTTCTCTCTTCTCTCTCTGTCTCTCCCTTTCATGGAAGGAAGAAATAAATACATGCACTTAAAAAAAATAAAGTCTTCATATAACAACGGAAGATGAAATGTTAAAAAAAAAAATTAGGCTAAAGAGAAGGGAAAAGACAAAATTAATAGAGTGAGGAGGAGCGCAAAGAGAATGAGATTTCCAGAAGGTAGACGGGAGGGCATTAGCATCAAGTGTTTCAGCTACTGATGAAATCTACACATAATTTGTTTTGAAATGCAAGAAAATAAAGTGTGGCTATTATACAGGAACACAGCAGAAAGAGTGAGTTTTCCCATTGTCCAAACTACTTTTGCATAGAGGGAGAAGGGAGGACACAGAGTATCTTGTGATGTTTTGTAACAGGAGCCTCAGAGTGGAACATCTTCCATGAAAGACTCACCGTGATCAGGTTTACTAAAGACCTCTTGTTAAACACACACACACACACACACCCAGCATGGCACCAAAATTTGGCATTTCCTACCCAACACTCTTAAATTATAATGTTCATTGTGTCTAATTTTTTATTAAAATTTGGACCAAGAAAATGACTCTGGTATTCTTTAAAAATTGAAATGGGAGGACCAGCTCATTGAGCAGTGGTTATGTGCTATGCATAGGAAGTTGATCCCACATGGCTGACTTCAGCTCAAATCCCGATCTTGTGGCTTAAAAAGCACACCAGACATGTGTGGCTGCATGCCCCAAATTTTGACAAGATGGAGAAATGGAGGAAAAGGGATTGTGGCATGACCATACCCCATGGGAGGGTGCTTTCTTTCTTCCTCTCTCCCTCTCTTTCTCTTTTTATTTGACTAGTCCATGCATTTTCTGACAAGAAAAAAACAGAAAGAAATGGGGGAAGATTTCAAAGAAAAAGGTAAATAACAAAGTTGTTTTAGTCAACAGCTCCTTCCTATTCTTTCTCTTTCTTCCTCCTCCCTTCTTTTCTTTCTCTTTCTTTCCCTCTTTCTTTCTTTCTCTTTCTTTTTCTTCTTTTCTTCCTTCTTTCCCAGAGGACCATACACTCACCAGAGAGAAAGAGAAGGAGAAGGAGAAGGAGAAGGAGAAGGAAAAACTAGTATTTTGATGTCAGTTACTTGTTACTTGTCATTCTCACTGCAAAACTGAGTAATTTTGCAAATATAAATACTAAATCCAAGATATTTTTCTGTACCTTGAAATATAGCAAGTAGCTGACTTCACCATGTCCTCTTTGCTCGCTTACAATTTTAGGAGAAATTTTATTATATGATCAGGCTAACTACTGAACACATAAATAAAATGAGGACTAAGAAACAATGAATTAATTAGGCAAAAGAGAATTTAAAAGGGAAGAAAGAAGTTTTTCACAAAGCGATATTATATACCACAAAATAAACTTTCCTCATTTTCCTTGAAGTTTTATGACAAAGCTATACTATAAAAGTCCCATTTTCCTTGAACAGAAGTTTATCCCTAGAGCCTGGAGTGCTTTTTAAAATATGTGAGTACTGGTGTCTTACATGCCAGGCTTTGGAGGTATAAAGAAATTCTTAACACGTTGAAATGTACTTATGCGCTCCAACATGGATGGATTAGCAGTTCATCTACAATAAACCAATTAATAAACATACTTATGAAAGGCCCAGTTGTAATTTATGCACTATAAGTGGCACACATTAGATTACAGTAATAAATAAGTGTAGTTATATTAAACCACTTAAGACTTTTAATTTGTTGAATACCAGTAGAGTCTAAGAGTAGATATTAAATATTACTTTCAGTAATTAGTGATATGCTCAAAACAATAAAATAACTTTAAAAAATTGTTCTTGAATTGTTCTCTTGATCGTATGCAAGGAGACTTCAAGAAGTTCATGGAAAAATGAAATCAAAGTTTGATGTCAAAAAATTTAAAGTATGTGCATAATTTTCTTTATTATACACATTTTCCATGAACAGTTTGATGAGCTCTCATATATGATCTCATAAATTCATCCCTTAATTTATCAGTCTTTTCCATTTTTTCCTACTTTTTGATAATACTTCATTGAGAAGAGTTTATATATTTTGCTGTGCCTTATGTGTTTGTTTCCTTGAGTTCAAATAAAGTCCTTTATGACTTTCACGTAGTCTCTTTTTCTCCTTACTTCTCCTCTTTCTCTGGATTTTAGAAGATTCTAATTTTGCATGTGGAATGTCTAAATTTTGAATTCAGGATTTACAGCAATGAAGTAAATTATTCAAGTTGGTAATAAACAAAGCCTAGCATTTTATGGAATGAAATCTATTGATGGAATACTTGAAGAAAACAAAAATCACAGACTCAGATGCAAAATAAAAGCATTTAATGGGCTAATAAAGAAAGAAAATCTGGCAAAAATTTATAGATTGAAGACTTCAGGATGTGAGGTGGTTCATGGTTCTCTCCCAGGTTTGATATAGAGTTTGAATTTGTTCAAAGAAATAGTTTCCCACCTGAAATTTAAAACAAAACAATAAATAAATAAATAAATAAGTGTGAGTATGTAAAGTTTGATACATAGACATATTGACATAAAAACATACATACGTTTGCATGCACACACATATGCACATATATGCATGTGTACAAACATATATGCATGTATATTTAATTATCTGTCAATTTATAAAATGAAAATGAGAGATTTATAAAAGCCACCTATATATCTGTAAATTATTTGAAGCTATTTTAAAGAACTTAACAAAGTCTTTATGACCATCAAAATATTCACCTATTAGACACAGCTATACAACCCACATGGAGAGCTTCAGAATTCTTTTTGTTTCATCCTTTGTTCCAACTTTGTTAGATTTTCATTTTCTTACTAGGCATCTTTTCAGTAGTCTATGATGTATGTAACTTCCTTACCTTTTCCTGTGCTTTGTTTTACCTCACTGGGCAACTGAAACACCATTGATGTTGTAAAAAACTAGGGCATATTCATCTGAAAATTAAAGGGATCCCATGTTAAGTCTCCAAATACCTATAAGCAGATTATGACAGACATTATAAACACATGAGGATTAGTCTTTTGGGCTGGGCTTGTGACTTAGCAGTTAAAGGAGCTGGATCCCACATAGCCAAGTAGGCAGGTTGAATCCCAGACCCCAGAGGCTTAGAAACACTCTGGGACTATGTGCGTGTATGTTCATCCCGACAGGATAGAGAAATGGAGAAGGGTCTGTGATGTCATCATGCCCCACTGGGGTGTGTTTCTTCCTTTCTCTTTGTGGCAAAGCTAACAATCACTCAAGCAAATTAAAAAAAAAAAATCCCAATAATTTTGCAACAGAGTCAATCACTACCTCATTTTACA